GCGATCCTTCCGCCTCAGCCTTCCAAGGAGCTGGAACTACAGGCGCGCACTACCACGCCCGGCTAGTTTTTTATTTATTGTAGAGATGAGGTCTCACCAAGTTACCCAAGCGGGTCTCAAACCCGCGGGCTCAGGCAATCCACTCACCTCAGCCTCCCAAAGGCACGGGAATACAGGCTGAGCCACCAAGCCCGGCTAAGCCTCCCTATTCTTAAGATCCCCATACCCCCCACTCACTATGGGAAACTATTTTTACCAGTTTGAGTCAAGGTCTCACTCTGTCACCCAGGCTGGAGTGCAGTGACACAATCGTGGCTCACCACAGCCTCAAATCCTGGACTCAGGTGATCGTCCCACTGCAGCCTCCTGAGTAGCTGGGACTACAGGCATGCACCATCACCACCACCACGCCTGGCTAATTTTATTTGTTTGTTTATTTATTTGTAGAGATGGGGTCTTGCTATGTTTCCCAGGTTGGTCTCAAACTCCTGGGCTCAAGCAATCCTCCTGGCTCAGCTTCCCAAAGTGTTGGAATTACAGGCATGAGCCATTGCACCTGGTCAACTTTTACCAGTCTATCTTTGCCCATCTTTTCAAAAATAAATGATTGTATATATACATGTGCTGTACTTGAAGTAATATCATCATTAGCCCTCAGAGCTGTGCTAAAGAGGGTTGTGTCCTTCCTCCCATGCCCAAATCCCTCAATCATCCTAATGGCTTTAGTTCCCTTTGGAATGTTAATGAGCACTTCACTTTGAAAGTGTAGTTAGAATTTGCAATCTGGGGCCACTGGTACCCTTCAAAAATTGTAAACTTCCTAATGTTGTCAATAAATAAAAACAATAAAATCCGGTAAAAGGATAAGTTATTCAATTAGGGTATTTCCATTTTAATTTTATTTATTTAATTTTAGTTGGAGGTCTCACTCTGTCGCCCAGGTTGAATGTAGTGCCACAATCATGACGATCACAGCTAACAGCAGCCGCGACCTCCTGGGCTCAGGCAGTCTTTCCACCACAGCATCCCAAGTAGCTGGGACTACAGGTGCATGCCACAACACCCAGCTAATTTTTTTATTTTTTGTAGAAAGGAGGTCTCACCATGCTGGTCAGGCTGGTCTTGAGCTCCTGGGCTCAAGCAATCTGCCTACATTGGCCTCCCAAAGTGTTGGGATTACAGGCGTGAGCCACTGTGCCCAGCCTCTGCTTTAATTTTAAATTGTTATGTTAATGACTTCTTTAATAAATATTTCATGGGGTCTCTGCAGTCTTCCAATTGTCTCGTAGGCAACAAGTGATTTTTCTTTTTTACTGATGATTGAGTCTATTTGACTGTGACATCACCAATCCAGAAAAAAGCATATAATCTTTTTTTTTTTTTTTTTTTTTTTTGAGTTGGAGTCTCATTCTGTCACCCAGACTGGAGTGCAGTGGCCGCTCCCAGTCACCACAGTCTCAACCTGCTGGACTCCGGCGATCCTTCCGCCTCAGCCTTCCAAGTAGCTGGAACTACAGGCGCGCGCTACCACGCCCGGCTAATTTTTGATTTATTGTAGAGATGAAGTCTCGCGGCCCAGGCTGGTCTGTAAGCCACGGGCTCAGGCAATCCACTCACCTCAGCATCCCAAAGGCACGGGATTACAGGCTGAGCCACTGAGCCCAGCAAAAGCATATAATCTTATATGCTTTCTCTCCCTTTGTTGCCTGCTGCCTCCTCCACTTATTAATTTGGTGAATACCTAGATGCATGCCCAGACCAGGTCTTGGGGCTAAAGAGATGACCAAGCCATGATCGTCTTCCTCAAGGTGCTCTCGGTCTAGTCGGGAGCTGCACTGACTCAGAAATACCCAGGTTCACTGTTACATGTCTCCTTCCCTCCCTGCCAGGTCTTCACCTTTGTGCTTACTGAACTCCAGCTACTTGCTTAGTTATACCTTGTCTTCTCCACAGGCCCCTGGCACAGAGCTATACTCACAGAATGTGTCTCCTGACTGTAGTCAAGCCCATTATTTTCCGTCTACCTGTCAGATCCTCTGTGTCTCTCTGATCAAGTCACTCTGACCACCCAGAAAGCTTCCCCTCCTGTTAATTCATGCCCATCATTATGAGATCAGACTCAAACCTCACAACTTCCAAAGTAATCTCTTAGTGCACTACACCCCACTCTTGCCATAAATTTATATACACTTAAATATTATTTTTGTTTATCATTAATAGGCTGCTTCAGAAATGTTGAGATGCTTTTCCCCCAGTGAGATTTTTCAAATAAAGAACTTTTTTATATGAAAATAATATAACAGATCCTAGGTTCTTTGGGCTCAGAGATTTTTCTAACTCTCCATGGTGCCTAAAAATAATAGCAATGGCAATAATGATTATAAATACTTATCATGTACCAAGCACAATTCTAAGCATTTTATGTTTATTGATTCCAGTTCCAAGACATAAGTACTTTTACAGATGAGGAAACTGAAGACCAAAAGATAAAGTAACTTGCTTTGGGTCACCCAGTTAGTAGTAAAGGGCAGAGCTAGTATTCAAATCCAGATGGCCTAGCCCTGAAGTCTATACCTTTTTATAAAAAGTATTTAATTTGATATTATTATTATTATTTTGAGATGGGTTCTCACTATGTTGTCCAGGCTGGCTTTGAATTCCTGGGCTCAAACAGGTGGGATTACAGGCAGGCACCATTACACCTGGCTTATATTCTTAACCCTAGCTAGATGCTTTCTACACAATGTTGCCAACTATATACTCAAAAATTACTTAATAGGCAATTAAAAGTTCAGGGATCACCCATTGCAGAGCAAGAGACTAGAAACAAAGACTTACCTTCTGCAGTTCAATTTGGCCCTGGACAATGTGGAGAGTCAGGGTATTCATGACTATTGTATTAGAAGGAAGGGTGGATTCTTGACTCAACCATGGTCCCAGCTCATTCCTCCCTAGAAGGGCTTCTGAAGAAAGTTTAAAGGCAGCAACAGTAGGCTCCTCATTGCTCACCAGGTGAATTTCTTTCAAACTACCAGCTATATTTTTATCTTGCAAATATAACAGGATAGTTTCTACAATGGTCTCTGTACACAGAACCAGAGGAAACTGGAAAATCCCAGAGCTCAGGGCTGGAATTGCTACTGTTTCAATGCATCTACTGCCACAGATATAATCCAGAATATTCAAAATGGCCAGCCGCAGTTTACTGATACAGCCTTGTGGATCGAATGACTTCCACCGAGGCCCGACAGCATGAATGATCTTTTTGCAGGGAAGCCTCCCTGCTCCAGTGATAGCAATCTCACCAGTTGGTATTTTACCATAATTGGCAACATATTTTCTGCTCTCTTCTTGGATTTCAGGGCCACCAGCTTTCACCAGGGCCAGGGCCAGGCCTCCCCCATGTTCAAGGTCTTCATTGGCTGCATTTACCACAACATCAACAGCATGTCTGGTGAGGTCACCCTTCCAGACAGATAACTCTAGTCCAGGAGACAGCACTTTTTTGAACACTTGCTGGGATTTGTTGTTGCCTTCTAGGCCTGGAGAGACCAAGGTGGAGACACAGTCAAATTTAGTCCGGAGGACTTTACGCAGCTGACTCTCATTGTTTTTTAAAATTTTGAAGTTATTGTGATTAATGGGAATTTGCTGAGCATAGGTTTCTCCAAGAGCATCAGTCTCTGGAAAAGAGAAGATAAAAAAATAAATAATAAGTGAGCAAGGTTCCTTTGAAAAGGATGTCATCCCACTTTACATCAGAAGACTTGAATTTCTAAGTGCAAAAGAGAGATTAATTTCCTCTAGCCCTCTTCATGATTCTTTTTCTCACCTAGACAAAGGCTATCCAAGAGTTTTCAATGGTAGCTTGCCATAAAGTGCATAGTCTTGTGTACTTGAAGTACTTCATACAGTAAGTACTCAATAAGTGGGTGCTATACAGCAGGTACTCCGTAAGTGGTAGTGATTATGATACAATGATGATGATAAGAAAACTGTGTATTTGGGGCTCATGAATCTTTAAAATGTACGTAAAAATGGCAGAAGCACAGGTCTTTGGAAGGGACTTAATCATGAATCAGAAATATGTGGAGGCTTCATAACTTTTTTGCTTTTGTCAGCGTCTTAGTTTGTGTTTCCTTAGGAGAGGACCCTGAGACAAAGATTTAGGTGGAAGAGGTGATCCTAGAAACACCAAGGGTTTGGGTGGAGAGGACAGCATAGCAAAGTAAGACAAAGGAAATGAACAAAGGGTGTGTTACTAAGCAAACAAAGCTTAACTTCACTGGGAAATCTTACGCCTCAGAATTATACCACCAGAGGGGAAATTATAGGACCTGGGATATTTATCCAATTTCTACTGGTCATTGTTGAGGCAGCTCCTTGGTGGGGGGGGGGATCAGATCAGCAAATGGGTGGAGCACCGACAGTGTCTGCTCAAGTAAACCATTCTTCATGATCCTCTAGTTTCATGGAGCCATTTTGGTGAAATTAAAACTAATTGAAAATTACTGTATGTGGCAGATAAAAAGGTATGCTGCTCATATCCCCGAAATATAGCTAGTTGGCAGCCTCCAGTTAGCCACTCAGGGTTTGTCTCGGTTTTCAGCCAAGGTCATGCTATTCTCAGGGCAACCTCCACCAACGGCTGAACAAGGCCATTCATGCTCATTGTGGGACCCTCCAACGGGCAGTCTCTGGCTTGCACAGACTGTCAGGTTTTCACTGCAGTCTAATGGCTCCATTTGCCCTCTCTGGATTCCTCTCTTTTCCTTTCACAGGGAAACTTTTGCACTCCTAACTCTATCTCCACTTCTGCTTCCTGGAGAACCTATCTTGGGAAACTATTTCATGGCATCTAAGACACTGTTACTATATGCCTCAGAGAAAGGAAAACAATGCCAACTAAACTGTGGCATGTCATCCATTGATAGAGGAGGTATATTGCCTTATTTCAGAAATGTTAAAATTTTTAAAAAATCCCTGCATTCCACAATAAATAAAATGTGGTAATTACTTACATGTTACTTCAACTTTCATTTCTATTTATTTATTTATTTATTTTTTGAGTTGGAGTCTCACTCGGTCGCCCAGACTGGAGTGCAGTGGCCGCTCCTGGCCACCGCAGCCTCGACCTGCTGGGCTCCGGCGATCCTTCTGCCTCAACTTTCCAAGTAGCTGGAACTACAGGTGTGTGTTACCATGCCCGGCTGATTTTTTGATTTATTGTAGAGATGAGGTCTTGCCTGTCCAGGCGGGTCTTGAACCCGCGGGCTCAAGCAATCCATTCACCTCAGCATCCCAAGGCACGGGATCACAGGCTGAGCCACCGAGCCTGGCTAACTTTCATTTCTTTCTTTTTTTTTTTTAAGTTGGAGTCTCACTCTGTCACCTAGGCAGGAGTGCAGTGGCACACTCAAAGTGACTGCAGCCTCGACCCGCTGGGCTCAGGCAATCCTTCCGCCTCAGCCTTCTAAGTAGCTGGAACTACAGGTGAGCGCTACCACACCCGACTAATTTTTTGTTTATTGTAGAGATGAGGTCTCACCAAGTTCCCTGGGCTGGTCTCGAACCTGCAGTCTCAGGCAATCCACTCACCTCAACCTCCCAAAGTGTGGGATTACAGGTTGAGCCACTGAGCCCGGCCTCAACTTTCATTTCTAATCTGAGTCATCTGGAAGGGCCTCTGGTGGCCTCAATTAACCAAAAGAAGCAAAAATTGAGTTGCTGTGTCCGACTGGCCTGAGCTTTAGCTGTAAATTTCAAATGGGCCACCCCTAGGATTAGGCAAGAACCATTTAGCACTTTTGGCGCTCACGGAGCGAGGAGGCAATCAGTTGCTCACCCCTTTTGGCCAATTTTTGCTGCAGAGGAGTGGGAAAAGGGGAAGGACAGTGGGACTCTGAGAGACCAAGCCCACTGGTGCCACACCACCTCTGAAGCATGTACGGGGGTCTCCACAAGGGTCTGCAGTCACGCACCTGCGCACTTGTAGGGGAGACATTCTCCTTCTGTATTCCCCTTTCTCCACTGAGGAAAGATCTGAGCAAAGACTTTCTGAAACAAGAGTGAGAGTGAGGTAATCCTACCTGATTTTTCATTGTATGCTGCTGCTCCAGCACCCTGTGAACAATGAGAATGGCTTTTGTTAAAAAATGGAAGCTGAATGAGTACAGATGATTGATAACAAATATAGCCTATTAAACACAAAGCAACAGAAACCCTGTTCAAAGCACTGGGTTTGGGAGGGAGGGGAGCGCATGCATTTTGTACTTGTGTGCCAGCAACACTTTAAATACTAAATGTTCTAGCAAACATGACCTATCCCACTTCCCTAGGGACTGATGCACTTCTTTTATTAAACGTTATTTTAGTTTTTTAGAGATGGGGTCTTGCTCTGTCACCCAGGATGAAGAGCAGTGGCTTAATCATAGCTCACTGCAGCCTCGATCTCCTAGGCTCCTGTGATCCTCCCACCTCAGTCTCCGAGTAGCTGGGACTACAGGCACATGCTACTACACCTAGCTAAGTATTTTTACTTTTTAGTGATGGGAGTCTTGCTATGTTGTCCAGGGGGTTCTTGAACTCCTGCCCTCAAGCGATCCTCCCATCTCATTCTCCAGAGTAGCTGGGATGATAGGCGAGAGCAATTGTCAATGCACTTCTAATACCGAATAATATGAGAGTTAGAAATGAACACTTTTATTTTTTATTTTTTTGAGTTGGAGTCTCACTCTGTCACCCAGACTGGAGTGCAATGGCCACTCCCAGCCACTGCAGCCTCGACCTGCTGGGCTCCGGCCATCCTTCCACCTCAGCCTTCCAAGTAGCTGGAACTACAGGCGTGCGCTACCATACCTGGCTAATTTTTGATTTATTGTAGAGATGAGGTCTCGCCAAGTTGCCCAGGCGGGTCTCGAACCCTCGGGCTCAGGCAATCCACTCACCTCGGCCTCCCAAAGTGCTGGGATTACAGGCTGAGCCACTAAGGCCAGCAGAAATGAACACTTTTAAAGGCCCGGAGGTCACAGACCAAAATGACCCCAAACTCTCAGATGGTCTCTAATCTCCAAAGGCTTATGAGGTTTCTCTAGATAGAAGACATGGAGACATGAGCCTCATCAGCTATGTCTCTTATCCCCCAGAAAGGACCTACTTTCAACTGCCCTTCTCATGGCACAAGCCTTAACATGGAATTGCCAAGCTTACCAAATGAGGTGCCTTTCTCTATTCCCCTGTTCTTTTTTTTTTTGAGTTGGAGTCTCACTCGGTTGCCCAGACTGGAGTGCAGTGGCCGCTCCCGGCCACCGCAGCCTCGCCTGCTGGGCTCCGGCAATCCTTCCGCCTCAGCCTTCCAAGTAGCCGGAATTACAGGCATGCGCTACCACGCCCGGCTGATTTTTTGATTTATTGTAGAGATGAGGTCTCGCTGCCCAGGCGGGTCTCGAACCCGCGGGCTCAGGCAATCCACTCACCTCAGCCTCCCAAAGGCGTGGGATTACAGGCTGAGCTACCGAGCCCGGCTTCCCCTGTTCTTCTTCCTCCTCCATTGCCCTCCTTATCCCATCCTGAAAAAGAACTGCTGGATGACTGAAGAGGATCAAAATGATGCTGAAAAATCCTCCAGCCTCAAGTTGACGCTGTTGATTCAATTAAGAATATTCTTGATTCCCCATTTCCCACATGGTGCAAGGACAAAACTTTCACCGGTCTATTAAAACCAGACAGGGATGTCAGGTAAAACTAAAGACCCCAGATTTCTTGCTGTTATAGGAAGAACTATTTGTGTGCCGATTAAGGTTCATGATGTATACACATTTATGCTTTTTACCATAGAAAAGTCCATCCTTCAGGTCCCGGGGTGGCGGTCTTTAAATGTTTATCCTCTCTTTTGGGTTTCCGAGTATAGACTGTAGCTCCTAGATATGGTGGCCCACTTCTAGGAATGAACAGAAAAGATGCAATAAGCATTAACCAGAATCTTAGAGAATTGGTAAAGAATATACTACAGGAGGACCAAACATGATTTTTGATCTTAAATAGTCTTTAATTTCATCGATAAAGATGTTCACAATGTTTTGCTGTTGTTGTGACTGTCTACTTCCTATCCTTTCCAGGAGAGGTTTCAAAGGAAACCCTAATAGAAGTTCAGAGAAGGGAAAGAACTGTATAGGCTGGAACAGGGAAAGCTTTATGGAGGAGATGAGACTACAGCCAAGCCTTGAAGGATAGAGAAGTCTTAAAATATTTAGCAGAAGAGGATGATAACAAAGTGGTGAGACTGAGCACAGCACTGAAAGAACAAGGAGGGAAAACCGGCCTAACGAGCGAGTAAAGACTCCCGGAGAGGGTTTGAAGGAAGAGGAAATGCCATTTGTGTCTGTGAGGGGTGTGCATTACTGAATTTGGGATAAATATTCTTGACCTAATTAGATAGGAGAGTATCTGGATAACAGTCAGAAACTCTGGGGAGAAGTGCATTTTAATGATTTTTCCATCTGATAGGCAGAAATTAAAGACTGAATTTTTAGAAAAATGATGAAAATGTTTAAAGATACAGTTGCCCACACTTGCTGCTATCTTTAGGCCTCTTGAATGATTTCTAATGTCTTTGCAATAGAAAAAAAGTTGTAAAACATCTACAGTATCAGAGCACTAATATTCTTGTGCATCAAGGAGGAGCAGCAAGTCCAGTTAAACCCTAAAATGCAGGGCAAAAAGATGCATTTTTGCCTCCAGAGGGCACTGCTGTTTTCGAAAAAGGACAATTTCTCTGCTTTAGCTGTGGGCTTTTGCTTTAGATGTGCACTTGTTTCTGTCTTCAGACCAGGCTTTACCAGCCTAAGGATAGACTTGGCAGTTAGGGGTGGCATTCATTTAACCCCAAAGAGCTTAGAAACACGGAGTAGATCGCCACAAACATTCAATCTCTTCCATTTTAAAAACAACAGTAGCAACAAAAGCCTTCTCAACTTCCCATCACTGATTCCTACTGTGTTTCCTTCTCTTCATGAGTAGCCAAACTTCTGGAATGAGTAGTCAACTCTCCTCCTGTCCAACTGGCTGCTCAGCCCACTGGAGTCTAGTCTGGCGCTCCACTTCACTCCCAGCACTCTTCTGAAACAGCTCGTCAGTGTCTTTCATGTGGCTAACCCAAGGGACTATCTTCTATCCCAATCTTTATCTGACCCCTCTCTGTGGTATTTCATGCTTCAATTCCCAAAACTCTGCTTTCTCGGCTTCACCTATGCCATCTGTCCTGGGTTCTTTTGTTACCACTCATTTTGCCTTCACAGGTCTTTTCCCGGGATCACTTCCATGGTCTACCTCTTAATCGTTTGCCCCAAGATTCTGTCTGAGAGGCACTTTTCTCATCTGCACACTCTCCGGGGTGATCTCATCCTTGCCTCCAGGCTTCGAATCACCACCTGCAAATATGACTCCCGAATCTGCATGTCTAGATTATGCTCTCCTGAGCCTCACTTTTCAATGCCACCTGGCTGTCCCACAATCCCCCTAAAACACAGCTTCTGTAAAACTGGATCCCTTATGTCCTGACTCCCACTCCCCTATCCCACCCCTACCAAAATCCATGCATTATCTCCTGAATTCAGCAGCTCAGTAAATGATATACTATTTACCCACTTGACTCAGAAATCTAGGAATTTTCCTTGAATCTTTTTTGTTTCATATCCAATCCAGTTCTGAGGCCTGACCACATAAATCACATTCAAATATGCCCCCACCCTCCTTACACACCGACACTGTTTCACTTCAGGGTCTCACCACTTTCCTAGCTATAAGAATAAAGGTTTAAGCGTTTAAATTTAATGTTTTGAATAGGTATTACACTTACATGGTTCAAATTTATTCCTCCTAACGCTCTCCCAGAGGCAATCAATACTTCTCCTGCATCCATCCAGAGGCATTTTTACACAAAAATCTTTCCCACTTAATGTAGCCTAGAGATCTTTTCATATGAGCGCGTGCGCGCACACACACACGTGTGTGTGTGTGTGTGTGTGTGTGTGTGTGTGTGTGTGTGTATATTTTTTTT